CCCCACCCCCGGCAATTTTCCACCACCTTCTTCTCTCACCTGGACTACAGCATCCTCCTAATGGTCTTCCCAATTCGACTTTTGCTTCCTTACAGATCACTCTGTACACAGCAGCCAGAGAGTAAGCCAGGTCATATCACTCCCCTGCATAAGATCATCCAGCGACCTGGCCCCTGACTACCTCTCTGACCTTGCTCACTTTCTTCTGGCCCCACTGGCCGTTATGTCCCTCAAAGACTTCAAGCTCATTTCTGACTCCTGGCCTGTGCAGGCCGTGTTTCCTCTGCCTGGAACACTCTGGCCCAGATCTTTGCATGCCTGGCAACCTCTTGACATTCAGTTCTCAGTTCATGTGTCACTTCTTCAGTGAGGCCTCCCTCCCTGCAACTGTTACTCTCTGTCACATTGCCCTGCTTATTTGCTTATATTTAAGCTCTGAATATGGTCAGAAATGACCTGATTGATTATTTGCTACTTGTTTATTGTCGTTCTTTGCCCCATGAGACTGTCAGCTCAGTGAGAACAGGGTTGTCCTTTTCTTTTTCACTGCTGTATCCCCAGCACCTGGGACAGTACATGCCACACAGTGGTGCTCAATAAATAGCTGTTGAATGAATGGGTGGATGCACTAAAGTCACGAAGGCCTGAGTGGAGAAGCTCAAGGGGAGAAGGCCTGGGGCTGGCCGCAGGAAATGGAGTTGTTTTTCCTAGAATCATCCTTGCCTAAGCCAGGCACTGCTGATACGGATGAAGTGGTAAACGATAGGACCAGGACTGGGAGGGTGCGGTGGAGGGGGATTCAGAGAATTTTCCTGCAAGAGCTGGCACGTGAGTTGAGTGTAGAGGCAGGCAGGAGTTAGCCAGGAGAAAATGCTGGGAAGGTCAATCCAAGAGAAGGGGATGGGCCAGAGCAAACACCCAGAGGTGTGAACCGCACGGTTCAGTGTTACCAGATTGCAAAGCAAGGCAGAGGATGATGGGAGTGGCAGCTGGACAGGTTAATTGGGGCCAAGTCCCAGAAGGTCTTGTGCGCTGTGCCAAGGAACCTGGCCTTCTTCCTTTGGTGGCGGAAAGCAGGGGCGTGACTTGGTCAGATTTTCATTTATTCAGACTGCTGTGGTTGCCCCATGGAGAATAGATCTAAGGCAGTGGTTCGCATATCCTGCACGTTAAAATCACCCGGGTAGCTTTTAAAAGCTACTGAGCCCAGCTCCCACCCCAGACCAAGTAACCAACTAAATCATAACCTCTGGGGATAAGGCCCAGGCACTGTTTTTTTTTTCATAAGTAAACCTTTTTATTGAAGCTAACATACATACAGAAACAAGCACAAATCCTAAGTGAGCAGTCTATAAATTTTGATAAAGTGAACACACCTAGCATCTAGATCAAGAAACAGAACACTGCCAGCACCCAGAAGGCCCCTCCCTGCCCTCTTCAAGTACTATATCTGCCCCCCCAATAAGGGTAACCATCATACTGACTTCTAACACCGTAGGTTAATTTTGCTTATTTTTGAAATTTATATATATTGGTGCACTTGCTGAAGTTTATTCTCGTTGCTGCACAATTTATTTATTTATTTATCAATTCCACTGTTAGGGACATTAGGGGAGTTTCCAGTTTAGGGCTATTATGAACAGTGCTGCTATGAAATGCTTGCATGTGTCTTTTGGTGAACACATGTGTACCTTTCTGTTGTGGATGTACCAGGAGCAAAATTGTCGGTCATAAGGAATACACATGCTCAGCTGTAGGAGATAATGCCAAAAAGTTTTCCAACGTGGTTGTAGACACTCATTGTTTTCAAAAGTGTCCAGAAGATTCTGTTATGCAGACAGACCTGAAAAAGGCTGTTCTAAGGGCGGTTAGCCTGGAAATAGGGAGGCAAGTTAGGAAGCTGGAGCTGTCACCCAGAGCCTGGGGAGACGCAAATGTCAGCTGAGAGTGGGATTTAGACAGAAAAGGGAGGAAGAAGCAATGGAAGAACAGGCATCAGGAATAAGAAAGAGAAACTCTTTATACGAAGGCAAGGAAGACAAGGAAGAGGAAAACATCCCCTGGTACCGCTGGTGTTTCTGGCTTTGGCTTTGCAAAGGTCTCAGGAGAAGGAGGCATGAGGTATTAAGGGAGGAGAAGCCAGAGATGGAACAGCTTAAAGTGTTTTTGTTGCCACAGTAGGCTACCCTGGACACAGCAGCCAAGCCTGCAGATGCTATGTCATGGGACTCTAATTATGAGGCAGGAATTCACTGGTTGTACATGTGCTGATTGCAGTGGGAGCAGGGAGGCTGTGTGCTGCTGTGGCCAGGGCACTAGCGGAGGACGTGGAAACCTGGGTTCTAATGCTGGCCTGGCCACCAACTGGCTGTGTGCCTCATCTCTCCGTATTTTAGTTATGTAGGTTACTGGCTTGATGACCTTTAAATCCTTTCCAGCTTTAACGGCTTATTATTTATTTTATGTCACTCTAGGGGTGACATTTCAACAAGATGTTCTGAAAAGTGGCATGATGTTAGTATTTGAGATGGTTTTGGATGAAAACATTGGACTGTATAATTATTTCCCCAAATTGCATAGCATAGGATAAGGCACTCTTAGATGATTTTAGTTTTGTTTTGCTTTGTTGTCATTTTTTAAATTCGGGGTATGGCTAAGGGAATACGGCTGGGAGTCAGGGACAGTCTTGTGATGTCACCCATATGGCTCCATGGCAGTGCTCACCTTGTGTCTCCATATCTAGACCCCTCCCACTGGCCTTAATGAAATAAAAGCTTCTCCCCTGGGTGAATGGGAAGACCCACCAAGCTTTTTGGAAGAGAAGGCCAGAACAACATTGTTAATTCACACAGAAACAGACCCACGGACCCCGCCATGTCTGAGTCATTATGAGGCCATTGAGCCCCAGGAGACTCTGGGAACATCCTGGGTGTAAAAAGGCTCAGGATATGCTGAGGGCAGGCAGGCCGTTCCCTGACAGAAAAGCTGAGAGGGAAAGAAGAAAGGCTAAATGTTCCTGGCCCTTCTCGGAATTTGTGGATTCCCTGAGGTCTTAGGGGAGAAACGGGACAGGGAATAGATATCTGTTCTTTAGGGGGACTTTAAAAGGAACAAAGTTGCATGACTGAACCATTAAAGGACAACTGACCTGCAAAACAAAATCTACCAGAGAGACACAGCTGCTCTTAGCAATTATATTGTACAAACTTTGATTCAAAAAAATTACTGTTGGTCTCGGGTGGGTGGGAGGGAACTCAAAGAGATTGTGATTGCAATTCAGAGTCCTGGGCTGAAGGAGTATGACGGTAGTTTCAGGAGTGGGCAGATATGTGATGTCAACAGGAGGAAAACAAAAGTACAGGAAGGCTGAGTCTGCAATTAAAGAGGCAAAGATAAAGCCTACTTACATGCTATTCTGAAAAGAAGAGGTTGCTAGAGCAGAGGAGGTGGTGTAACTAAGGAGAAAGTCAATATTATGAGTCAGCCAAGGAAGCTACTGGACACAGAGGATGAGTTGACAGGTGTGGTAATATTTGCACAGTGGTGGTTGCAGAGTCACTACAGCCTGAACTGCAATAAAAGGAGCTGGAGTGCCAAGAGTTTAGTCACTGGGGGAGAAATGAGAGAACATGCAGGTCAGGCGGGGATTGGGTTACCCACTGAGCGTAGATCAAAAGAAGCCACTGGGTGGGCAAGGTGTTTCATTTGCTTTGCACAAGAGGATACAGTTATCAGGGTTACCAGGCAAGCTCTGTGCAAACCAGCTGATTGTCCAGTAGCGAGTGGCCAGCCATTAAGAGCAGAGGTAAGGCACAAGGCAAGGCGTCCCTGTGGTCCCTAGGCTGCATGTCCATACCTTAAGGTCCCCTTCTCCCTCATCAGAAAGTGCCCTAGACTAGATGGTAGGCTGGGAAATGAGGCTGTGGTGGCTCTTTAGTTTTTGATGCTTCAGGAAATAATAGTTGGGAATAGCTGAGACTGGAGTTCGAGAAGGGTAATGGGGCTGACATTTGTTGAATACTAATTATGGTGTTGTGCACACATTACCTCTATTCATTTTCTATGAGATCTGTGTCAATTTCATTTTTTTATAGATGTTGATACAGAGGCCAGAGAGATCATTTGCCCAAGGTCATATAGCAAGGGGTTGATATTTTCATCCAGTCTGTTTGATTACAAAGTTATACCCCCACAGCACCTAGGCATTGCTGAAAGAATAGAATGTGTATATATGCATGCCTTTTGAAAATCATCTGTCAGGACAAATAAGGTGTGCTGCTATTTTGAGGATAAAGGAGCTATGCCAGCTAGTAGATTTGTCATTGTGCGAATTAGAGTCAACATCTGTGGGTTGCCCTTTGACATAAGCCCGCCAGGCCCTCAGCCACTCACCATGTTATTCCAGAGCGCGATGGCCATCTCAGCATGACCACGTTCTGAGAAGTAGAAACAGTCCTCCGAGAAGAAGGTGAGGTCAGTGTCCCCTCTCTGATAAAAGGCAAGAGGGAATTATTTCCTAGGAAGAGTGCTCTCTTCCCCATCTCTTCACCCTCCAACAGGCACCCTAGGCATTTCTCCTTCAGTGTTTCAACTCTGCTGCCAAGTGGCTCAGATTCTGGTAGAGAAACTCCCAGATTTTTAAAAAATGGATATTAATTTCCAGCTCCTCTGCTCTAATAGTTGAAAAAGAATATTTTAAGGAAGTTTTCCATTCTATTCCAATTCAGCAATCCCTATGCCTGGGATTTGCTCCTTTTTATCTCAAGTATACCCAAGTTTCAATCATACAGGAAAAAAAAAAAAGAGGAAAGGCAGAAAAAGCAAACCCTTGGGAGCCCTCTCAGAGAGTTATGGTCAGAAAAAGCCCACAAAACTCATTTACAGAAGGAAATACCTGCCTAAGATAAGACCTCTACGCAAGAGCAGTCCAGCAATACCCGTAGCTTACGTCATTCAGTGGGACGAGAGTGTTTTGGAAGAAGGGCTGCACAACAACCGCAAAGTCCTCCCGCTGCATGTACTGGTGCCAGTAGGAAAACTTGGAGACACCACTCTGGGAATGGAAAGACAGGCTGCTCAACACTCCTAACAGGGCTGGACACACACATCCTGTTCCTGCTGCTTTGGTTGGTTGAGACCGGTCAAGCTCCCCTAGGCAAAGTTCTCAGAGAGGCTACTCTAGTGTGCATGCGAGCATTCCTTTAGTCTGCACCATTTGCAAGCCCCTATGCCCCAAGACCCTGTGCTGGGCTCTCAGGATCAGAGACGAGTTGGAGCCCCTGCTTGGAGAAGCTCACCATCTGGGTGGCTTCACCCACTTCCATTCTGAAGCCTCTGCAAGACGGGTCTTAGCCACCGACCAGACTGCCTGGGCCAAACACCTCCCCTGCTCTCACTGCATGAAGAGGTAAATTAGAGCACGTGGCTCCAGTTCAGATTCAGCTCAAGCAAGGACTGTCTTAACACTAGCTCCCCAAAATGCTTATAAATTTTGAGGGATGAGTGTCCATGGTCATTAGATTTATTAAGTGCCAAAATATGGAATGTAAAAGGGATAGACTAGATGTACTTATCCTCAAGGAGCTTATCTTTTGGCTGGGAAAATGAGATAAGATGTAAAAACAATAGAGAACCAGATAGGGCTTTAGGGTCAGTTGAGTGCAAACTGAATTTGATATGAGGAGATATTGGAGGGTGAAGTTTAGTCAGGGGAAGCTTCTTAGATGAGGTAAGACATGCCCTGTTCATGGAGATGGATACCTTTTCAGAAAGACTCAGATGTGAAGAGCAGGAACAGAGGGGGACATGAGGATTGTGGTGAGGGAGCAGACAGGAGGAGGGTAGGTAAAGGTGAGAAGAATTTGGGGTGGAGCTTAGGTAGTAAGTAGGGTGGGGCTAAGCCTTATGTTTCTAAGAGAGGAGAGGGAGAGGAAGTGGAGAGGAGGTAGGAGGCAAGGAGACCAACCTCGTCTCCTCTGGGTGAGAGATGGCACCTACGACCCACGGTTCTGGGTAGGCAATGGATCCCACCCCATGGAGTCTATTCTGGGAGCCAAGTGCTGCTTACCTGCTCCGGGCTGACCCAGGGCTTGGAGGAGGGGATTCTCCCAGCTCCCTCTTGGGTTTTCTTGCTCCCCTTCCCTCCCTGGCCTTGGTGTCTGATTCACCTGGATAAATATTTCAGGGGCTGTGATCTGCCTTTAGGGAGGGCCTTTGCTCTCAGCAAACCCTTTTTGAACACTCACTCGATTTCTGAGTCCTTGCTCTGGAAGTCAAGGGGAGCACCCACCTGGGACAAGAAGAGGATGAATGCAGGGGCTCACCTGGAAGTTCCAGTTCACTTGCTTCAGTTCCTGCATCTCCAGGGAGTTCTCCTGGGAGTGTCTGAGGCAAGTGCAGTTACTCCTGTGAGGCAAAGAGTCTTGAGGCAGAGGCTCCCCTGGGAAAACCTGGCTCTGTCAGTCCAGGAGGCTGACTCTGACACACAAAGGATACTGCTACCCACAGGGGCCTGAACCCTGTACTGCTTTACACAGAGGGTGAAGGGTTGGAGAGGGTGACATACAAGTACCCCTACAACACACCCTTACTGACTCTCAGGCCCAGATCATAGGACTGTAACTCAGGGGGCACAAGGACCAGCAGGTGCTTGGTTAGAGAGAAGGTAGAAGATTTGGCATCTGATATCCATGTCTCCTTTTGGAGAGGTTCCAATCTCTTGTAGAAGAGGCTGCACATTCCCCTTGCCCCATGACTTGTCTCCTTCCCAAGTCTTGGCTCCTGGAGTTTCCTCAGAAGGAACTGGGTAGGGACAGGACTGGAGTCGTGGAAAGACAGCCATGATGGCCCTATCTTTTGCTATGGAATTATTCTTCATGTTCCTCTAGCTGCTTAAGGCTTTCCCTCAGGTCTCCAGATTGGAGAGTCCTTTGGGAAGCTGGGAGGGGTCAAGCAATCTGAGACACACTGACAAGGTGGAACGTAATACCAGCAGACCCTGGAGGAGTCATTGGGACTGCTGAGTCCATTGGCCACTCCCCCTGGGGGCCAGGTTCCAGCAAGAATGGGAACCAACTGGTCACCTTTACAGAAAATCCATTCCACCCCAGAGAGGACTCCTCAGCCCCAGGCAGAATCTCCTCCCTCTACCAAGAGTCACAAGAACTCTGGGTGACCCTTTGGTCTCAGAAGATGACAACTTCCTGCCACGGTACAGTTGAGCTGTAATGAATTCTAGCCTCCAATGGGAATGCTTGTCTTGTGCATCAATACTTACCTGCAAGCTTGGATTCCAAGGATAGTCCTATCAAGGGTGTAATAAAAGCTACTATTTATCAAGAACTGGCCTCACACATACCAGCTACTTTACATGCATTTTCTCTAGACCTCGCATCTACCTTGCAAGGAAAGTGTTATCACTCCCATTTTACAGATGAGTAGTAAGAGGCCCAGAGAGGTTATGTGGTTTGTTCAAAACCCCACAGCTTTTAATGTCAGAGCCAGGACCTGAGACCAGATGTAGCTGTCTTGAAAGCTCATTGTCCTATGCTGCCTTTCAACAAGGAGCAACTTACCAAGGATGGACTTTGGAATCACAGACAAAGTCAAGGGGCCTTAAGGATCATTCGGTCAGTCTCACTCACTTAATCGAAAAGCACACTGAGTCCAGAGAAATGAAGTGACTTGCATACAGTAGGTACTGAATAATGCAGAGGCATTTCCAGATGATTTTCCAAGGGTCTGCTAAATGCAATGCCAGCCCTCTGGACAGGGTTGTCTGCCTCTGCTCTCTCCAAATGCTCTCACCCTGGGACCAGGACCTGATCACTTACTGAGCTGCCATCGGCATATCACATTTCCCATCCTGGCCCTGGTGCAGGCCAGCCAGCTCCATGACTTCCACCATGTTGACGAAAGCCCTTGGAAGCTGCAAGGAGTAGAGGCAGGCTTCATCAGTTACCAGGCAGTTAGAGGGGAGGGGACACTGGTTACTACAGGAGGGGGCTCCCCTATGATCCAAATTCTCCCTTCCCAATTTACCAGTGAGGAAACTGAGGCCAAGAGAGGGGATGTGACTTATATGATCTCACAGAATCTTCTTTATTGCCCTCACTTTGTAGATTGGGAAGATGAGACATAGAATTAACTTGCTCAAAGTCACATTGCTAGTAAGCCATAGCTCCTGGCTGCAAACCCAGGCCAGTTGGCTCCAGGGGCAAGTTCTTTGCCACTACACAATACAGTCTCTGATCCTCAGCGGAGGGGCTCGCAGCTCCCTCCCTCCCAGACCATCCAGGTGCACACTGATGGTGGGCCTCTGCCCAGTGTGCATCTTGTTGAACAAAACTTGCCTGGATTCACCCAGTGAGGAATAGACAGGCAGTGTGCTAGCAGTAAGGGGACCCAGGAAAGTGCAGCCACTACTTCCTACCTCTTCATAGAGGATATCCAGGGTTTGTTGGAGGTGCCGAACATACTCCTGGGCTGAGTGGGCCTCCTGTGAAGAAAAAAAGGGGCTCTCCTCAACCCCTGGACTCCATTCTGAGAGGAGGAAAAGGGCAGTTAGCACCCAGCACAGGAGTGCCCTAGGGGCCTGGGCTGCTGGCAGAGTGGGTGCAGAGGGGCTTCTGTGGCACTGGCCAGGCTGGGAGGCCTAGCCCTTGTCACTGGTTGGACACAGGGTCATTTCTTGATCTCTACTGGACCCCATGGACAATCCCCACCCCCTCCCCGCTGTACATTATCTCAAGCTCAAAGGTAGATTCCTTGTGGGTGCTGGGCCCTGCCAGTTCTCCAGTGCATCTCTCAGCAGTCCCCACCCATCATCCTACCTCAGCTTTATGAAGCTGTGTGTGTGGGCCCAAGGACCCACCCATAGACATCCAGTTCATGATGGGCTGCATGGTGACTTGGTGGCCCATGGCTAAGTGTTCCGTATCTACTAAGACCCAGTAACAAGCCAAAAGCTGTTTCTCAAAAGGACAGTAGATATATACAGAGTTTGGCAGGTCTTTACTCCAAAATCCTAAGGGTCTGTGCTGTGATTCACCAATAGGAGCCTCAGAAATGCTCCAAACAGCATCTCTATCTGCCACTGACACTTCAAGGCACATTTGATCACGCACTCTTTCCTCTGGGCCTTGGGCCATGCTGGTCCCATTGCCTGGAACCCTTTGCTCTCCATACACCCCTAACTTCACCTATCCCTTGTGACTCAGCTCCAGTGTCTCCTCCTATGACCCATCTCCCCACTGGAGGCTGATTTAGATGTGCCCTCATAGCGTCCCGGGTGCTATGTGGGTACACAGCCAGTGCTCAGTAAATGCTCACTGACTAACCTTGGGCTGTGCTTTATAGCAAGAGAAAGATAGTCATAAGAAGGTGTCAGAAGGAGACTGATGCCAGAGGGTGGGTGATGACTTGAAGCTCTCATATGCCAATGGAAGAATCCGTGTCTGTAGAAGGTGGGATCAGAGGAGCAGCAGGAGAAGAGAGCTCAGATGGTCCATTATTTTTTTTAAGACAAATTGCTGAGGTGAGGCTACGTGCTTCAGGAGGCAGAAAAAGTGCTCTGTGCACACCCGTCCCCAGCCACCAAAAGCAGGGGTGTTGGGTGTTCAGAGGGTGAGGGAGGAATGGGCAAGAAGACAGTCTAGGCTGAGGAGTTCAGAGAGGCTCTTAGGAGGAAAGGGACTTTGTGTCTCCCCCTGTTTCTGCCCCTCTTCCTTGCCAGGGCGATTAGGGCCTGGACATCAGCTTTATAACTTTCTTGGCCCTAGTGTGAAGAGTGTGAACACGTCAGCCATGGTGGAGAGAAAGCAGATGAAAGATGGATGGAAGTGAGTGGCTTTCTCTCATAGACAGATGTAAAGATTTTAGACTCCTTATAAATGATTCCGTCCCATTAGTCTGGTCTCTCCCAGTAGGTAAACTCCAAGAGTCTAAGCAATTGCTGATCCAACCAGATTAACTCTTCATCTGATGTTGGGCCCAGTGCCCAGCTGCTGTGCGTGGTCTTTCCTTCACCTGGTTGTCTAGAGAGCACAGCGAAGAGCCCCACCCCCACCCCCACCCCCCGCCCCGCAGCCATATGTGGACCCAGCCAAGGGCTGGGGAGACAAACGCGAGCTTGAAGAGCCTGACTCCAATCTGTGTTTATATAGCATGGTGGACGTGGACCTCTCCTCAAACTTGGCTGAGTTAATCCTGGTCATGTCCTTCAGGCACTTTTCACAAAACGATGCTCTCAGGAATATAAACCTGATCATTTGCCTGAAGGGCATATATGTGTGTGCTGTTGTTGTCATTGTTAGCTGCCATAGAGTCAGCTCTGACTCATGGTGACCCTATGTACAACAGAAATAAACACTGCCTGGTCCTGTGTCATCCTCAAGATTGCCGGCATGCTTGAGTCCGTTGTTGTCTTCCAACCTAGGAGCTCATCTTCTAGCACTATATTGAACAATGTTCTGTTGTGATCCATAGGGTTTTTATTGGCTAAATTTTGGAAGTAGATTTCCAGACCTTTCTTCCTAGTCTGTTTTAGTTTGGAAGCCTAAAGCCATGGGTGACCCTACTGGTATTTGAAATACTGGTGGCATAGCTTCCAGCATCAAAGTGACATGCAAGCCACCACAGTATGACAAACTGACAGATGGGTGGTAGATTTGGAGGCTAGTAGAGGACATTTTCCTACACCAAGTGTCCACAGGTGGCTTGTCTTAGGTTAGGTTCTCTAGAGAAGCAAAACCACTGAAGTATATATATATACATATATGTTTACATATATGTATATATATACATATGAGAGTGAGAGATTTATCCCAAGGAAATGGCTCATGTGGTTATAGAGGCTGGCAAGTCCCAAGTCCGTAAGTCTGTGGGTCAGGCATCAGGCTGTAGGATTCTCCTGACTCACATAGCTGCAGGGGCCGATGAACAGAAGACTGGCAGGTCAGATAGCAGGCTGCTGGCTCACAGGCTGTGGAGGCTGATGAATCCCAAGACTGGCACACAGTATGGCAGGCAGCTGGCTCAAGTCCCAAGTACTAGAGGTTAGATGATGATGAGCTGGATGCAGAATCCAGAGTATGCAAATGAGCCTTGCCAGAACATCCATATATATATTGGATGCAGGCCACATCCCTGAGGAAAGTCCCCTTACAACTGATTGGCTGATCACATCAGATCACATCACAGAGGAGGACTACATCACTACATAACTGCCCAACTACATCATAACATAACTGCCAAACCACTGAGAATCATGGCCCAGCCAAGTTGATGCACAACCTTAATGACCACAGCCTACCTCTTGTCAGTTTCGCACCTGTACACTTCTACTTAAACCATCTCTAAATAAAGACAGTTACAAACTCATACTTGTGCCTAACATGATACAACTAACACGTATACAACTGAAAATGCACTAGCCCTGTTTACATCTTGTATTTTGTAAGTTAAGAAAAAAAATATTTGATGCACTCGTACAAGGAAGAAATACTCATAACAATTACAGTCCTCATTTCTGCAAATGGGTCATGTGGTTGTAACTAGTATTTATAACTACCTTCTTCTACCACCCATTCTGTATTCCCTTTACCCTCAGCAAGCACCTCAGCTGGTCGTGGTTCTTTGCCTAGTGAGGTGGCCAAAACTTTCATTCCTGAAGGGTCTGGGCCATTAGTAGTCATGTTGGAATTGGGTTACTGTAGTTTTCCATTGACATTAATCACAGGGCATAGTAGTAATAAGAGACACCCTAAGGGATCGCCTATATTCCAGACATACTTTTTTTTAACTTCATTGTGCAACATCAATCCAATTTCCCCTTGGTAGTCAGGGTCAGTCACTCCAGGTAATATGGGAACTCCCTTCTTTGCCTGTTGATCCAGAGGCATGAGGAGCCCAAAGTGGCTGGGTGGCCTTCTTAACTTCCAGTTCAATGGAATCTGTGTTGTGTCTCCAGGTGGGAGCATTCTTCCCTTTGGAACTAAGACCTCTAGAGCCACAGAGCATAGGGTTGTGGGGACAGGAAACAAAAAGTTTGTGATAGGGTCACTAGGGGTAATAGTGACTGGTGCCACTCCCATCTCTGCCCTTGATTCCTGGAACTGTGAATCCTGGCTATGGGAGAAGCAGCACCATATACTGGATACTGCTTTAGAGCATAGACAGCCTCCTGTAGAACATTGCCCCAACCCTACAAAGTGTTGCCACCTAGCTGGCATCATAATTGATCTTTAGAAGGCCATTCCATTGTTCTACCAAGCCAGCTGCTTCAGGATGATGGGAAACATGGTAAAACCAGTAAATTCCATGAGCATGGGCCCACTGTCGTACTTCATTTGCTGTGAAGTAAGTCTCTTGGTCCGAGGCGATGCTGTGAGAGATACCACGATGGAGGGTAGGCATTCTGTGAGTCCATGGATGGTAGTTTTAGCAGAGGCATTGAATGCAATAAAGGCAAATACATATTCAGAGTAAGTGTCTATCCAAGCAAGAATGAAATGCTGCCCTTTCCATGATGGAAGCAGTCCAATGTAACCAACATACCCAATGTAATCAACCTGCCACCAGGTTGCTGGTTGACCTCTTCAAGGAATGGTGCCATATCAGGGACTCAGTTTTGGGCTCTGCTGCTGGCAGATAGGGCGCTTAGCAGTGGCTGTAGCCAAGTTGGCCTTGGTGAGTGGAAGTCCATGTTGCTGAGCCCATGCATAACCTCCATCCCTGCCATCATGGCCACTGTGTTCAATGACAAGAGTGGCTGGCAAAAGGGGATAACTGGTTTCCATAGAATGTGTCATCCTATTCACTTGATTGTTAAAATCCTCCTATGCTGAGGTAACCCTTCGGATAGCATTCATATGAGACACAAATATCTTCACTTCTTTGACCCATTCAGAGAAGTCTATCCACATACCTCTTCCCCATACCTCCTTGTCACCAATTTTCCAATCATGTTCCTTCCAAGTCTCTGACCATCCAGCCAAACCATTGCTGCAGCCCACAAATCAGTATACAATCACACATCTAGCCATTTTCTCCTTCCAAGCAAAGTGAAAAACCAAGTGCACTGCTGGGAGTTCTGCTCACTGGGAGCAGTTTCCTTTTCCACTGTACTTCAGGCAGGTCCAAGAAAGGGGCTGCAGTGCTGCTGCTGTACACTTTCGAGTGGTGCCTGAATATCAGACAGAACCACCAGTAAACCAGGCATGAGTTTTCTCTTCCTCAGACAACTGATCACAAGGAACTCTCATCAAGGCCATAGGTAAAGACTGGGAGAGGGTAGGTAATGTGACAGGAGTGAGACCATGGCATTTGGGCCACTTCTTCATGCAATTTACTTGTGCCTTTAGGTACTGCTTGACCCCAAGATTGTATATTCTATTTAATGATGGAGTGCTGTTGTGAATGTCTGACTTTATGGCCCTGTGGGTCAGACAACATCCAGTTCATGATGGGCAGCTCAGGCTGCATGGTGACTTGGTGGCCCATAGCTAAGTGTTCAGTATCTACTAAAACCCAGTAACAAGCCAAAATCTGTTTCTCAAAAGGACAGTAGATATCTACAGAGTTTGGCAGGGCTTTACTCCAAAATCCTAAGTTTCTGTACTGTGATTCACCAATAGGGGCCTCAAAAATGCTCCAAACAGCATCTCTATCTGCCACTGACACTTCAAGCACATTTAATCAGCTGTATCATATGGCTCAAGTGACAGAGCAACTTGCAAAGCAGCCTGAACCTATTGCGGTTTTCTCTTAGTCTGGGCTCCACTCAAAACTAGCAGTTTTTCAAGTCATTTGAAAAATAGGCCAGAGTAGCACACCCAAATGAGGATATGTTGCCTCTGAAATCCAAAGAGGCCCACCAGGTGTTGTGCCTCCTTTTTAGTTGTAGGAGAGGCCAGATATAACAACTTATCCTTCACTTTAGAAGGAATATCTCAGCATGCTCCACACCACTGGATGCCTATAAATTTCACTGAGGCAGAAGGAGCCTGAATTTTTGTAGAATTAATTTCCCACACTCTAGCACTCAAATGTTTTACCAATAAGCCCAGAGTCATTGACATTTCTTCTTTACTAGATCCAATCAGCATGATGTCATCAATGTAATGGACCAGTGTGTCATCTTGTGGAAGGGAAAGGCGATGAAGCTCCTTGCGAACTAAATTATGAGATAGGGCTGGAGCGTTGATATACCTCTGGGGTAGGACAGTGAAGGTATATTGCTGCCCTTGCCAGAGGAAGGCAAACTGCTTCTGGTGTTCCTTCAAAACAGGTATGGAGAAAAAGGCATTAGCCAGAGCAATAGCTGCATACCAGGTACCAGGAGATGTATTAAATTGCTGAAGCAGTAAAACCACATCTGGAGCAGCAGCTGCAATTGGAGTCACCACCTGGTTTAGTTTACGATAATCCACTGTTATTCTCCAAGATCCGTCTTTTTTTGTGCAGGTCAGATAGGTGAGTTGAAGGGGGATGTTGTGGGAATCACCAACACTGCATCCTTCAAGTCCTTAATGGGGGCATTAGTCTCTGAAATCCCTCCAGGAATCCAGTATTGCTTTTGGTTTACTATTTTCTTAGGTACAGCAGTTCTAAAGGCTTCCCTTTGACTTTTCGTACCAAAATAGCCCTTATTCCACTTGTCTGGGATCCAATGTGGAGGTTCTGCCAGCTGCTGAGCATATATATTCCAATCATGCAGTCTGGAACGGGTGAAATCAGTACAGGATTGGTTCAGGGACCCAGAGGACCCAGGAGATGAACCTTAGCTAAGACTCTATTAATACCTTGACCTCTATATGCCCCCACTCTGACTGGTGGGCCACAGTGACATTTTGGGTCTCCTGGAATTAGTGTCACTTCAGAGCCAGTATCCAGTAATCCCCATAAAGTCTGATTATTCCCTTTTTCCCAATGAACAATCACTCTTGTAAAAGGCCTGAGATCCCTTTGGGTAAGGCTGGGAGAAAGATTAACAGTATAAATTTTTGGCAGTGCAGTGGGGTCATTCCTCAAGGGGTCCTGGCCTCTTCTTCATTCAATGGGTTGTGGTTCTGTAAGCTGGGTCAAGCCTGGGAATTGATTGAGAGGCTGTGATTCTCTATTCTGGTGATTCAAGTTAGAATGCCATTCACTTAACCTAGAATTCTGCTTGTACAGATCTAGTAAATGTTTAGCAGCTTTTCTATCTATTTCACTCCTAGGGACACCATAACCAAGTAGCCAACGCCATAAGTCCATATGAATCAGACTATTCTGATTAATGATTTAACTCTGCTGTCCATTACAGTGACCACGCTTATCTTGTCTTTGTCGATCTGAGTGCTATCACTTGCCCCTACACCACAGGGTCCAATCAGCTCCATTGTAGTTAGGTGACTTAATTCAGTTAGTTCCCATTGTCAAATTTGACTTACGTAAAATAGCAATCACAGCAGTCTTCAAGGGTGCTCGGTCTTCCCCTTCACAAATTTTTTCCTCTAAAAGGTGTCTCCTCTGGGCACTCCATGTGCGGGTCTGTGGTTTTTAACCTGATAAATCACTCTAACATGCCAATTTCCCTAAGCCTTTGGATTCCTTCTTCTACAGTATACCAAGGCAAGTCTGGTACTTCAACTTGATTTAGTGTAGGCCATTGCATAATCCCTGCTTCAGTGAACCAACCAAATAAACTATTAGATTCTTTCCTAACTTCTCTAGCTAAAACACTGAAAGAAGAATCTGTGCTTAGTGGGCCCATATCAATAAACTCAGAGTGATCCAACTTTATGTTCCTTGCACCACACCCTTAATAGACATTTCCACACATATTTCTCAGGTTCCTCTTTGTACATATTAGAAAAGCCAAGCAGTTCTTTTGGAGTGTAGAGTACCTCTTCCTGGGTCACACTTTGTACTTCACCTTTTGGGGCTTGCTGGGACTTACGTCTAGTTTTAGGTCTAGAAGAAAAATCAGTGGCGGGGATGGGTCCTGGGAACATTCAGCAATGTCTTGTAAGGTCTTTACCTCAGGCAATGCCCCAGGCACCACCCCAGTTGTTATCTCAGACAAAGACTCTTCAGGCACAGTTAATCTCATCAGATGGGGGTGGAAAGGATAATGGTTTTACTGGGGAGGGTGGCTTAGCAAACAACGATGAAGTGATCTCTTCAAATGGGAGTAAGTGGCTGGTTCTGTTGACAGGAGTGATTCAAGGAAATTTAGGAGCTCAATGTCCCCAGCTTCCTGATTATCTGCCCATATGTCCCCATCCCAAGTTTCAGGATCCCATTTCTTCCCAGTCAGTGCCCTCACTTTACCTTTAGACACCATTCAAGTTTGGGAATTCAACTGGCGTTGTCATTCAGCCACTCTTATGATGAGATTCTGGTTTTGGTTTTTGGCAATATCCGCTCTGTTACTACAAGAAATAAGGCTTTCTTTCAGGGCACAAGTGGCACCTTTCAGGTTGTTTTTGTGGTGCTTGAGCTGTGACTGTGAAGCCCTGAGCTCATCTCTTTCTTTCACCACTTCGTCTAGCAAAAGTAGGACCAACCAACCAGCTTCTCTATACTTCTCATTCTGACAAAATTGTAGCAAAGTATTAAACATGTGATTGCCAGAGCCTCACTTCTCACCAATACTTAATCTATTTGTTGTTATATTTTGCTATTAATATTGCCACATTACACCATGGGTTATCAGTGCCCTCTTTACTACTGGAGGCAGAGTCACCAGCACCTTAAAGACTAGTCACACTTGAGAACCAACTTAGAAAACTCATCCTTAAGATTTTGCTTCTCTAAAACCACTCTTGATACCAAATGTCTTGGGCTGAGTTCTCTACAGAAGCAAAACCAGTGAAGTGTATATACATATATAGAGAGATTTATCTCATGGAAATGGCTCACACAGTTGTAGAGGTTGACAAGTCTCAAGTCCATGTGTCAGGTGTCAGGCTGGAGGCTTCTCATGAATCACGTAGCTGCAGGGGTTGAAGAGCCCAAGATGAGCAGGTTAGAGAGCAGGCTGCTGGCTTACGGGCTGTGGAGACTGACGAATCCAAGATTGGTAAGCAATATGACAGGTAGCTGGCTCAAGTCCCAAAAACCAGAGGTCAAATGATGATGAGCCAGATGCAGGATCCAGAGCAAGCAAGCAAACCTTGCCAGAACATCCATATATATATTGGATGCAGACCCACCCCTGAGGAAACTCCGCTTTCAACTGATTGGCTGATCCTATCAGATCACATCATGGAGGATGACTACATCATTGTATAACTGCCAAACTACATTATTACACAACTGCCAAACCACTAAGAATCACGGCCCAGCCAAGGCGACACACAACCTTAACCATCACATGGCACCAGTGTCATTTTTGGCTTCTAGGAACTCCTGGAGTCCAGGGCACAATGACATTTAAGTTCCCATAGTGTCAGATTACTTCTGCCTGTAGAGTCTGGGCCATGAAGGAGAGAACAGAGGTGAAGTGGCTTGAAAGAGCTAAACCTGTGTGTGGGAGGATAATTCTTTGGACTTGGCCTCCTCAAGCCTCAAGGAGTGATAAATGCCTCCCCCGCAACCCCCCACCTGTGACTGTCAAACAGTTCACTGCAAACTTTGAGTCAGGGCAGCTGACTTTTTCTGACCAAATAAAATACAGGCTGTCTCCACCTTAGAACAAGATGTATTCCTAGAGTTACAGCTTCCAAATTTTTTAAGTCTGGACATGTTTCCCCATAGAAACAACATTAGGAATGGGAGTGGGTTCCCAGGCCAGCCCACTGAGGTTGGTTAATGTCCTTGAAGGTAGCAAGCCATACTATGAGGACTGGCTCAACTTATCCAACCTCTTTTTATAACATTGTTTTGGTCTCCCCCTCTCCATGACCCCCCTAAAAAACAAAACAAAACAGGAGCAGGGACTGTAAATGGGCATGGGGTGGGGAAGCTCTAGCCATCTATCTGTCTGGATACCATGGAACAGTATTTGTGTCATAGAAAGGCTGCCTCCTCAGCCATGCCCAAAGAGCATGGCTAGATACTTCTGGACTTGGGGCACCAATGCAGCCACTCTCCCAGGGGCCACTCAGGTAGTGGGAAAGGCCAGGCGTCACCTGGCATTTGTGAGCCAGAGGCCACCTGAGCAGACTCAGGTGCCTGGAGATTAGGCAAGGGTGATTCCCATGAGAGAGGACGGTGGGAAGGGCCAGGGCCCTGGGCAAGGATAGTGATGGAGGTCAGCAGCTCTACTCCTCAGGTCCCCGATGAGGTTAGCCAGAGCATACCGGATTCTCGCAGTAATGACACAAGTCATTGCCCCCGACGAAGAGCGTGATCAACTTCCAGTCTTTCTCCAGGTTGATTTCCTAAGTGGACAGAAGATCCTGAGTTTAGGCTTGGGGAAGGGCACATGCAGGTAAAGCTCACCATGCCAGACAGCCCCTGAGTGCTTCTATCCTCCTTAGATCACAGTGGAGACAGGATGCTATGTGAGACCTCCCCAACCCCACCTGGTGCCTGGATAAGGAGCTCCACAGATAAAACTGGGCAGCATGTGTGTGCACATGTGCATGCATGTGTGTTGAATGCATGTGTGTGTGCACATGCATGTGTGCATGTGTGTGTGTCTGCTTACACAGTGATAAAGGGCTCTTTTAACTTTGAAATTCTCTTCAGAAGGCTGCATTCCATGGTGCAGGCATGTGTTCCACACTTCCTTGAGTCCATGAAAGGCCAAGTGGATTAAAACGCCCCTGAAATGTGATCTTAAGGCCTTCAAAGGAACCAAGGGCAAAAAAATGCCTCTAGAAGCAAAGGCCTAGAGCTGCTCCTTGGAAGAGTTCTTTGGGTGTGAGTCTGGGGAGAAGGAAACGTAGCAAGAGCTGTGCATGGACTGAGAGGTGGTAGGGAGGGCTTCCGAGCAGTCTGGTCAAGCAGGGAGCCTGCTTTCCTCCCAGCCACCACCATGATAGGAGTCCTGCCAGGAGCGGAATTCCAAGGCATAAGCAGAGAGCATTAACAAAAAGTGCTAGTGAGAAGTTTCAAGGGGCTGGGGTGAGCTGAGCGGGAAGGAGGAAGAATTGGAATGAGCAGCCCATTTTTAGGACCCAGCGTTTACTAATAGGACTCCATAAGCCAACTCTCAGGTAAAGTGGGAAGATGCAAAAAGCTAATGCCGCAATTTCCGCCAACTCTCAGCAGCACCACTTCCCCCGCAGCCAGCTCTTGGGAGTGGTGGTAGGGAGCTTGGGTCAGGGAGGGCAGGCAAAGTGGGAGCCTTTGGGATAAGGCCTGCTTCCTGTGGGTGCAGCTGGCCCCTTGTAAAGACAAGCCTGGAATAGGAGTGCTTTGGTGCAGAGGGGCTCTTTTAGGGCAGTGACACCCTTCCCAGTCAACTGGAGACCGAGCCCTTTGGAAGGATGGCCTGGGCCCTGTACTCACTGGGCTCTTCTTCATTTGCTCCACCAAGTCCCGGGCCTGGGCCGGCATGTCTCTAGCAGTGGGAAGAGAAGGGGAGGTTAGAGCTGGCTCAGGAGCAAGGGCTCGTGCTGTGGGATTTTGGCCTGGGAAGAGAGGTGCTTCAGGAAGAGGAAAAGCTGTAAAGAATGTACTGAAAGGCTTTTGATTCTCAAGAAATCTCAGCCTAGTAATATTCCAAGAGCTGCTAGGGGACTTGGAGCCACACTGATGCAGCCCCTGTCACAGGGTCTCTGTAACCAAACCACCTCTTCTGCAGGGGCACCTGGTCCTTTTGGACCACTTGGGTTGGGATTTAGTCAACCTTCCTGTCATGCGCCTGAATTATGTCTCCCAAAAAGTGTGTGTATCAGTTTGGCTAGGCCATGATTCCCTGTGTTGTGTGATGTTCCTATATGTTGTAAAGCCTGCCTCTATGATGTTAATGAGGGAGGATGGGCAGCAGTTGTGTTAGTAAGGTAGGACTCTGTCTACAAGATTGGATTGTATCCTGAGGCAATCTCTTGAGATACAAAAGGGAAAAGCGAGCAGAGAGACATGGGGACCTCATACCACCAAGAAAGCAGTGCCAGGAGCAGAGCGTGTCCTTTGGACCTGGGGTCCCTGCGCGGAGAAGCTCCTAGTCCAGGGGAACACTGATGAGAAGGCTGACAGAGAGAGAAAGCCTTCCCCTGGAGGTGATGCCCTGAATTTGGACTTTTAGCCTACTTTACTGTGAAGAAATAAATTTCTCTTTGTTAAAGCCATCCATTCGTGGTATTTCTGTTGTAGCAGCACTAGATGACTAATACACTTCCTATCAGAGATTTTTCCTTAAATTTTATCAAGCTCTTTCATTGCAAGCTGAACCTGTTCGTTTCTTGTTCTGCTGCCTGTTTTAAAAACAACCTTTCGTATATTTGAGAAAAGTCACAGCCCTAAATTATCCCTCACCTCTCTCTCTTTCAGGCTTAATGACTCTTTTAACCTTTACTTCTAGGCCCCACTTTCTGCTCCTTAAGTCCTTGGGTTACTCTTCTCTTCAGTTGCCTCAGATTTTCCCACCATTCTCTAATTGTTTCACTTTTTTTGTCTTCCTAACAAAACAGGATGGGGAAGATAAATATGAACAGGATTAGTTCAGTGGTAGAATTTTTGCCTTCCATGTGGGAGACCTGGGTTCGATTCCCAGCCAATGTATGTCATGTGCCACCACCACCCATCTATCAGTGGAGGACCACATGTTGCCATGATGCTGGACAGGTTTCAGTGGCGCTTCCAGACTAAGATGGACTAGGAAGAAAGGCCTGGAGATCTACTTCTGATAATCAGCCAATGGAAACCCTATGGATCACAATGGTCCAATCCGCAATCAAACATGGGGATGGCACAGGACAGAGCAAAGTTTCGTTCTGTTGTGCCTGGGGTCACCATGAGACAGGGTGGACTCAATGGCAGCTAACAACAAAGTTCTCCCTTCATCCCTCAGATGTCTTCCATAAGTAAAACAGTGCCACTTGGTGTTCTGGATAAGAGATGTTGTATGTCAATGGAATACTACTCAGCATCAAAGAGGAATGAGCTATTAATACACACAACAAAATGGATGAAATTCAAAATAATTTTGCTGAGTGAAGGAAGCCAGACAAAAAAGCGTACATACTCTACGGTTTCATTTATATATAACTCTGGAAAATGCAAGCTAATCTATAGTGACAGAAAGCAGATCAGTGGTGAGACAGGGACAGGGATGGGCAGGAGGGAAGATTATAAAGGGCCATGGGGAAAATTTTAGGGGTGACAGATATGTTTATCATCTTGATTGCACTGATGACTTCACAAGTGTATAATATATCAAAATTTATCAGGTTGTACACTTTTAATTTGTACAGTTATTGCATGCCAATTATACTTCAATAAAGCTGGTTTTTTTTAAAGATATGTACATGAAAAGTTATGTCAGCAAAGGGGATACAGCCAGTGGAAGCTGCTGTAGAAGTCATAAAAGCAGCAACAGGTGAAGGATGGGCATTTTACATCTCTGTATGCCCACAGTGAGCTGGCACAGAGCCAAGCACACATGGTACCATCTTGTTTCTCATTCAGAAAAAGTCATACATGTAGGATCGTATCCCATACACGATTGCTATTGATGGTTACATCAGAGAGCTCCAAAGAAAGCCTGCCCTAGTCAAAGGTGACCATGGAACTGCCTATAACCTTTTAATAGGTTCAAGACATGATCAAGGGAATGCATGAGTGATAAGCCCTCATAGGTCCTAGGGGAAGTTAGGAATGCTTTCTTCCTCCTCTCCTCCTAGCTATGTTCTTCTCATCCTTCAGGCTCAGATCAAGTCCTGCTTCCTCTGTGAGCCCTTCTCTGCTAGTTCAGCTATCCACGCCTCCTGCATTTCCTTTTCCTTTACTCCTGGTGGGAAGAGCCATGGATGGGAATCACCACACCTGGCTTCTACGTTCAGCTCTGCCGCTAACTTGCTAGGTGGCCTTCCACAAGTTACTGAATCCTGCTAGGGCTGATTTTTTTCATCTTTTAATGGAAAAAGTTGGACGAGGTGATGTCTGGTGTCCCTTCCAGGTCTACATCTGTATTTAGTCTTCCCAGTTCATACTTTATACTTCTCTGTTCTCTTAATTGTACTTGACGATTAAGTGTCAGATTATTTCAGTCTGCAGTGTTGCCATACACAAAGCTGACTTTTCCCAAAAGTTATTTTCTATTTGTCTAGTCTCCTTAACTAGATTGCAAGCTCTTTGTGGGCAGGGAGTTCGCCTTTTGATTCTTTTGTACTTTTTAGTAACCACCATAGGGCTGAGTCCTTGGCAGGTATTCAATAAATTCTTGCTTATTGATTCATCAAGGAAGATTAGATGTTGAATAAAACTTTGAACTAAATGTCCTAATAACGGCAAACATTTTTTGTATGTTTACTATGTATTATGTACTGTACTAAGTGCTTTCCATGGATTATATATCTTATTTAACCCTTCCAATAAGCCCTTGAGAGGTAGGCATTATCATTATCCCCATTTAGAGATGAGGGCTACCACCCATCAGTTAGTTTGCCATACTGTGGTGACTTGTGTCTTGCTGTGATCTGGAAGCAGTGTCACTGGTATTTCAAATCCAGTGGGGTTACCCATGATGGATAGGTTTCAAAGTAGTTTCCAGACTAAGACAGACTAGGAAGAAAGGCCTGGTGATCTACTTCCAAAAATTAGCCAAAGAAAACCTTATGGATAGCAACAAAGGCAAGAGAGGCCCTCAGTGAGATGGATTGACAGTGGCCGAAACAATGGACTCAAACACAGCAAGAATCATGAGATGGTGCAGGACTGGGGAACATTTTGTTCTGTTATACATAAGGTCACCATGAGTCAGAGATGACTGAATGGTAAGTAACAACAACCTAGATGAGGCAACTAAGACTCGGAGATGCTGAGTGACTTGCCTAAAGTCACACAGTTATCAAGTCTCAGAGCTGGGACTTGGACACAGAGCTCATTTTAGTTGCTTGCTATGGTATTTATCTTTCTCTTTAGGTGAACTCATCCTTATCCACGCTAATAAACAACAGAGTTCAGACAAAGGAAAGTCATAGAATGATTCTCCAATCTTACTTACTTAAGTCAACGCTTCCCTCTCCTGTCCCCTAACACTGGACACCAGACACTGATGAGAAGCTACAGGTTTCAGCTTCTCCCCCTGCCACCAACTCCACGCTGGTGGAGGCCTGAGAAGCAGTAAAAAGAAAAGGCAGCAAGAGAAGTGAAAAAAGAAAAGGAAAAGGGGTTTGAATGTCAACAGACTGAGGAATCAACCCCGCTAATGATGCTTGGGCTGTATAATAATAATAAGATGATGACAATGATAATAATAATAGTAATAACAGTAATTAGGTGTTGATATAATGGCTCCACAAAGCCCAGTATTTTGCAGAAAAATAAGTTCCTCCTGCTTATGATGTTGAAGAACTGACATTGCTTCCTGTGGCTGGAAGGCGCAAACTGCGTGTGGGGCCCACATTACCGCCTCTGAAAGGAACGCTCCCTGTAAACAGAGTGAGTCAGGCTGGTGCCGTTTCCCTGGTGATCTGAGCGTAGCAATGCTGCTACAAAGCAAATACCCAGCACGTTTTGTGCGGAAGATCAATGAACTCTGTCAAGCATTTTAGCTTTAATTATCTGGCTTGTTGTCGACAACAGAAATCCGAGAGATAACAAAGAGCCACCATGCTGTTTGGGGGGCCCTAACATCTAACTCCCTTGTGTGAAGACACAGAATCTTTTTCAGATCAAAGACTCACCCCCCACACCTGACCTGTGCCTCGTGGGGCAGAGAGGGTAAGCTGAATCAGCCAAGCCTCCGTGACTGCTCAGGGACAGCGCCTGGGGCCGAGCAGGACATGTGTCCACTCAAGCCACCTCCTAGCACTCTCTCCTGCAGCACCGGGCAGGCATGACAGCACAGTGGTCAGAGGGAAGGTCTGCATTCAGGTGTGGCCAGATCCTGGCTCCTCTGATAACATGCTGAGTGAACTTGGGCCGTTAAAGACACTTTCTAAGCCTTAGTGTCCTTACCTTAGTGCCTACCTGGAAGGGTGTGAGGACTACTTGAAGGTAGGTATGGACCCCTTGCAGTGGGTGATTGGGCCTTTTGGTCCTGGTTCTGAGAGCAGGACTACATCTGAGGGCCATGAGTGGGGGCCAATGCTGCCTAAGCCTCGGGAGGCCATGTAGTGAGGCTGATAAAGGCCTAGGAAGCCGGGGACTTGGTGGAGGTCCCGGACTGGAGAATGCAAACTCTGGCTCTTGGAGGCGAATGTCCCTTGGGCACATGGGAGCTCCGTGCTGAAGAACACACCTCCTGCACCCCGACATGAGCCTGGGGGATAAGAGACTGAACATTCATCAGAAGGGACTGGCACCAGAAGCCGCAGAAAGCCTGGAGCTGGTAGAAGGCAGAGCCAGGAGAAACAGCAGCAGAGGCCAGGGGAAGCTGAAGCCAGCATCTGCTGAGCAGAGAAGTGGCAGCAGACAGGTCTGAGAGCAGTGGGCTGAGAACTAGTAAATGCTTTGGGCTGTGACAGCAGCCATGAGCAGACCCAGGCAGTGGCAAAACCCCATCTGAAGGTACACGGGAGCCTGTCCAGGGCCCGAGGGCGCCTGTCCACCAAGCCTGGGTACACCCCGTGTAGGGGTTGCCCTCAGCATTTCTGCTTTGAGAGATGCTGGTCCCTGAGTGTCCTGATGCTGCTGGTTGAGAGCGGCAAAGGTGGCAGAGCCAGCCCAGAGATGTGCCAGCCCAGTGATGTAAGAGTAAACATCGATTTCTCCCCATGAAGCTGTTATATAGAGTGAACATTGATTTCTCTGTGTCGCTTGCTGTCTACTTTCCTTGTGCTAATGCTCTGGGAGCGTCTTGTGTGTTCTAGCTCTGAGCAGATGGATGTGATATTATTAGTGAACATCCTGTGTGTACACCACAATAATAAATTTGCATTATTTAAGATAACCTGTGGTTAGTGCATCACAGACATAGTGTGTGCACACTGCAACAAGATAACCCACGTGGAAGCTTCAGCACCAGGCCGGCACGAAGGAAGTGCTCTGCACACAACCAGGCTCCCAGACCCCACTCCTCTCTCCTCCTCCTGTTTCCTGCCCTGACATACCAACTGTGCCCTCCACTCTCCCTCCTGTCTCTCCCTCCTGTGCCCATGTCTACTCACCGAGCTCTGGCCCCATCCACTGCTACATTCAGCCCCGCTGTCTCCTCTTGGGTACCGGTAGAGAACCCAAGGATGTGAGGGTTGAACTTCTTCAGAATGTCTTTAAAGAGGGAAGAGGCAGAGAGCACAGATGAGAGGCAGCAGGAGCCCCAGGGAACTGAGGTGGGTATGCAGTGTTGGGACACAGGTGTGGGCATGAGGATTCTAGGTCTTTACAGGGCTGGCTGCCCTCCCTACTTTCAGATAACCTTCTTGTCCTTTCCTCCAAGGAGAAGGCCTGGCCTCACTAAGGGGCTGTTATGGCTATAGTGATGGTTCTCATCATCAGTGTTGCTACTTACTGGGCAGCGTGGTGTGGGTCTCCAACACGCCATCCCCTCCAATGCTAGGGAAAAGAAAGCAAACTTGTTTAAAGTACCCCTACCTGCTGTGGCCCTGGCACATCATTCCCGTCACCCCTAGGACTAACATGAGCATCAAGGTGTCCCCCTGTGTCTCAGCATGGGCCTTTGGAACCCCACCTCCTCTCTGGAGGGGTGAGTGGGGAAACACCACCTTTGTGTGTTCTTTAGGGAGCACCGTCAATAGAAAACGAGTCAGGAACATCCTCACCTCCAGGAGAGTCCCCTCCAGGGCGTGAGTAGCTCACTGGAGTTGCTTGGTCGGGCTCCCACAGCTGTCTGTGAAAGGCAAAGAGAAGGTTCCGGGACTGAGGTACAGGTTGAGGTGCTAGGAAAGACCCCTCTTGCCCTGACATAGGGCCTGGATTTGCCTTTTGTCCTGGCTTTTCTGCAGGCCGCCAGACCCTTAAACTCTGAGTCATCTTGACACATTCTTCTCAATCCCCTACACAACCAGTAGTCAAGTCCTGTTGACTCTTCCCTCCTAACACCTACCCCCTTCTTTTTCTCCCTTTGCCATTTTCCTAGCAGGCCCTCATCTCCTCACCATGGATGACACTCTGGCCTCCTACTTAACCTCAGGGTCTCCAGTCTCTGTTCTATTCTCACCAACAGGGCTACCAACCTGCTCTTCTGAGCACACTTCTTTCTTCATGCCTCCCCCACTATTCTGGGTCCCTGCAATGGGTCTCCCTTGCCTACAGGGTCAAAGCTAAGCTGCTTCACCAATGTCTGGGAGCACCAGAATCTGGCTTCCACTTTCCTTGCCTTCGTTTCCTTCCTCATTCCCTGTTCACACAAACCCTCAGCTCCAAGTGGATGGAGCTGATCACCATTTCTGGAGCACAGAGACCTTGGGCTGGCCTATCTCCACTATCACCCACTCCATCTCTTCCTGCAATGCTGAGTGCCCTCTTTTCCAGTCCCTTAGATCTCTGATTCATTTTCTAAGACCCTTGTCAGTTCTTACTTCTGCTATAAAACTTTCTCTAAATACCCTGCCTTTAAAAAAAAAAAAGAAAATTCTTCTTAGACATTTATAAAAGTAGCATGTTCACCATAACTAGTGAAGCAATACAAAGATTTTCAAAAAATTGATCATCTATTCACCTTAAAAATCTTGCCCCGACTACTGATTTTATATCCCATTGTTGTCTCTCACACACATATACACATCGCCAGTGCTAATCAAAGGCTAACAGTCTGGTGTGGATCCTGCCACAGCTTTCTTCATGCTCATTCCAAAACAAAAACACATTTATACACATATGGGAGTCTTGTTTGTTTTCACAGAAATGAATACCCTATTTTGAAAGACCTGTATGTCACCTATACGATAATGTATCTCTCTCTGTTCAAGCTTTTTGTTTTCTCAGCTGGACACGTTTCTCGTGGGCCATGACTGTGTCTCATGCTTCCTTTCCCTCAGAATTGCTTGCAAGGTGTCTTGAACACAGCAATAGCGAAATAGTTGTCTAATTCAATTCGTTTAGTGAGATTGTGCTATATGCCAGGAATTGGGCTACCTCTGCCCCAAAGATGCATCCTTAAATGGAGGGAGGGGCGTTGGCAGTGTATGGGTAAGACCTACACCCTATCAGTCTGGGTAGATGGAGATGAATTCCCAGATAAAGGCACGCGGACTTGGATAGGTGCTACAACACACACATGGAATGCCCGGGAACAGTGAAGAAGGTGGAATTGTTTCTATCTAGGGATTGAGGAGGCCTCATGGAAGAGGTAGTGTTTGAGCTGGACTGTGGAAGGATGGAGCGACAGGGTGTTCTAGGTTGCCTGGTGGTGTCTCGTGGCTGCCTGGCTGTATTTTAGTGGCTGCCTGACACCAGTAAGTCCTCCGTAAATGTTGGCTTAATGTTGAATGTGGGGCCAATGGTCCAGAAGAGCTGATTCTGTACGGGGTCTGACTGTGTTCCAAGGGGCCATCCTTGGCTTATGACTTAGTACTCACAGTCAACGCGTCACCCAGGGCTGCCACCACTTTGATGTCTGCTGGTTGGAGCTTGTGAACTAGGGGAGACAAGAAGATAGGTGGTTAGGGGGTCTTCATTTTAAAGCATAAAACTTACCAAGAGTCTCTGACTCTGCTGTAGTCCCCAGGTCTCCATTTCACTTATTTCCTGCCTAAAGCTTTAGCAAATTTGCCTCTTCCAAACTCATTTGGAGCAACCAAGGCGCTGATGGTAATGGGCTTAGTGACTACTGTCTATCCTGAGAGGAGCCCAGTTCACACTGGAGTGGTCCAGGAAAGTTCTAGCTGCAGGGGTTGTATAGAAGGGGAGCTAGGACCCCAATCACTGACTGTACCCATCTCACTGGGCAAGGAGGCCTCAGGGACAAGATTAGGACTACCTGGAAATGAGAAGTGTGATTTGGAGGACAGACCTGGGCCCCTTGGCATGGGAGCCCAGCCATGGCTGAAGGCCACCTTCTTGTGAGCTGTCCAGGATCATGTGAATCAGCAAGTCCTGCTTGAAGCTCCAGGGTGTGTTTGTAAGGTCTCCCTTTGACCTAATACTCAGTAAGGCCCTTGATTGAAGGGGATGATGATGTTTTCACTCACCCGAAGTGGGAACAATGTTGGAAGGACTCCAGTCCATACACAGGAAGTCACTGCCCCAGTTCTAAATCAAGAAGAAAAGATATAATGCCCAGTACTCAGTGTGCAGGGAGATAAGCTTCAGCCTGAGTACTATCTAAGGAATTTTTGGTGGAATCTAGAATATGCCACTTAGGGGTGCATGTGAGGCTAATAACTGTTAGTTGTAGGTGGACTGAGAGCCTTTCCAATCCCAAGTTATCTACACTCTTACATGGAGCCAGCAACTACCCTAAAGCAGGGGAGAAAACAGGTCACACTACAGGTGCTCTCCTAAAGGAGCACAGGATTTGGAGCTTCCAGGTGGTTTGGTGGTGGTGTTTAACAGTAAGCTAATTGACACTAATTACAAGGTTAGGGCCCAAACCATAATTAGTTAAAATATTTTTAGGAAAGCAACATGAAATTTTGACAATTGCAAAGCTCCTGGTTTCTGCATATCTTTTGCATATTTAACTTTAGACGTATCGATTCCTTGGTATCGATAAATTATGTAATGTCTGCAACACTGGATAACTTCAAATTCTCTAGTATCTGCAATATGCAGCAAAGAAATGGTTAGTAGCAGAAAGCTGAGGGGGAGAGAATCTCTTCCCCAAAGTCCCAAATATCTACATGTTCCCTGGAGGGCCTGAGGGACAAAGCCCAGTGCAGAGCATACAGTCCAAACCAAACCAAACCCATTGCCATTGAGTAGATTCTGGCTTATAGTAATCCTATAGGACAGAGTAAAACTGCCCCAAAGGGTTTCCAAGGCTGTAATCTTTACAGAAACAGACTGCCACAGCTTTCTCCTGTGGAGTGGTTGGTGGGTTCAAACCCTCAACCTTATGGTTAGCAGCCAAAACGTTTAACCACTGCCCCACAAGGGCTCCTTCAAGCACACAGTAAACCAAAACCAAAACCAAAACCAAACCAAACTCGTTGCCGTCGAGTCGATTCTCACTCATAGTGACCCTATAGAACAGAGTAGAACCCCATAGGGTTTCCAAGGAGTGGCTGGTGAATTTGAACTGCCAACATTTTGGTTAGCCCCTGAGTTCTAAACAACTGCAGCACCAGGGCTTCAAGCACACAGTAGGGCTCAACAAATAGGTGCTGACTGTTTCACTGATCCTTCAGGACTTTAATTGCCAAAAGCCTTTGAAAGCTCATCGCATCTGCTCAGTTAGATAACCATTAAGACAAGCCTTGTTAAAGGGCGGGAAGCAGGGCCAAGATGACGGAGTAGTCAGACACTTCCGGTGTTCCCTCTTACAACAAAGACCCAGAAAAACAAGTGAATCGATTATATATGACAATCTAGGAGCCCTCAACATCAAAGGCAAAGTTCAGGAACCAGACTGAGTGGCAGGGGGAGGGAGAGACAGTTCAGAAGCAGTGAGGAGTTGCCAGACCTGACCTGGCGAGAGCCTGAGCCCTTCAGCCTGGATCAGCTTGGGGGTGGGCGGTGAGGCAGGCAAGCAGTGGTGCTTGGGAGGCATTTTCCACACCACGAGAGACCAAGTGACAGAGAGACTATTCGGCCATCCAGAACCAGTGAGAAGCAGCCCTCGAGCAGCGAAAGATAAGTACTTGCATCTGGCCTGCTGCGCGGATCAAAAACACCCTCCTTAGGGAAAAACCTCTCTCCCATTTACCTCCCTGCACCCTGCTCTGCACTGGGTCCCAGACTGGCTTCAGCAATTGCTGAGTCCCCTGGGCTGCAAGTAGGACCCTTCACAAACCCTGAGCCATTCACCCAGCCTGGGAGAGTGAACTAATCAACAAACAGGGGAAAAAATAATCTGCCAGCTCCCCTAAGCCCAGAACTCAAGGTAGGCACAGGTCCTTTGCCTAGGCACAGGCATAAGGGACCCATGGACTTTGAGTGCCTTTCCACCTGCATAGACTTGTGTGGGCCCATTTCAACAGCGTAGGCCCTCATTACCGCAGTACAACAGGGTATATACCCGAAGTCTAACTTCAACTGTTTCAGCTATGAAGTGGTAGGTTCGTGACATTTGACACTGCTCTGCCCATAAGCAGGGTCTTCTCCTATCCACATCAGGGGCCTGAGGACTGGTGGCTCCACCCACATGACCAAGCCACCTGCTACAGGGGCCCAAGAATAAGAAATGCCCCCCAGTCCTTACAGCCAACAGCACTGGTTGCTCATAGTCTGGCTGCAAAACCCACCCATCTACATGCTCTAGGGAACAGGGACACGTTTTCCTCCTGGTCACTCAGGGGTGGCCGTTGGCCGCCTGCCTTGCTCAGCCTATGTCCCCCTGATGCAGCCAGATGCCTGTGCCTACACCAATCACCCATGCCTATCTAGAATTGTAAGTGAGAGCCTGCACCACACACTTGGTGGCTGACTACCTGGACACCTGAGCTGAATCCATATAGGAGGAGTGGGCAGACTCCTGGGCTCACATACTTAGTGGCAGATCTGGCCACCTGGGGGCAGGACTTTGGAGCTTCAAGGGTGCAGGTGACTGGGCTAGCTCACATGAGCAGCCTATTTTGGCATATCAAAACACAACAAAACAAGAAGCTAGGACACAGTAAGCAAACATAAAGTAAATAAATATAATAACTTATTGATGGCTCAGAGACAACAGTCAATATCAAACCACATAAAGAAGCAGTCCATGATGGCTTCAGCAAGCTCCCAAAATAAAGAATCTAGAAATTTTCCAGAAAAAAAATTTCTTGGAATTACTGGAGGCGAAATACAAAAGAATAATACACAGAACTCTTCAAGAGATTAGGAAGGAAATTAATCAAAATGCAGTACATGCAATGGAGGAAATTAAAAAGATTAGAGAAGAGCATAATGACAAATTTAACAGGCTGCAAGAATCCATAGAGAGACAGCAATCAGAAATCCAGAAGATTAACAATAAAATTT